TAGTTTCTGTTCAGTCAATACATAAAAATTAAACGGCTGGATGTGACACTCAGGATATGGGTATGATATTTGCCAAAATTTAAGGATTGAACAACCAAAAAACAAAACAAAAAACAACTACAGCTCGTTCGATCCGATTAACTAAGTCCAAATGCTCAACTTTGCATTGTGACGTAAACAGGGAGACCATCGCCTCAGCAACAGCAGCTGGAGAAAAGAAGGTGGTTGATCAGTAAGAAAAATGAATTTCAATGCATCGTAATCAAAACCTGTGAATAACCCCAACTCTGTTTGTGTTTTTTTTTTACTAAGTTTCCTATGACCATGAATTATTACTATGATTTTTTTACTAAACAAAACACGACCATGAATTATTACTATGATTTTTTTTACTAAACAAAACACTTGAAACTATGTTTTCTTTGCTGTTTTGCTCTCAGTAGCAAACAAAATAATTTCATGAAAAATGCAAACATTCTAAATACCAGTGTTGTAAGTTATAAGACAGGAAGAAAATAACAGTGGAAAGATTTTGGTTGTTTTAACTTTTATTTCTTACCATTATCAGTGAATTGCCTACAAACTCCACGACGAGGTTGGTGCTACGTTCTTATTTAGCTTAGAATATCAGCACTGTCTGAATCAAGAGGATGAATGTAGAATATAAAGACTTTCAGGGGTCTGGTCGTATGAAAGCGTGGGAAGTAATTCAGTGTAAGCAGACGTGAATGTGCGACGCTAAGCTATATACAGTAAATGGGCCACAACGCCTGACATGCAGCAGCTGCACCACTTCCTGAGCGTGCATACTTGATTCAGATTTGAGTCTTAAAGAGGCAATCCCGACCTAAGAGCTTGGGATTGCCTTTTTTCACATTTACATCCGTCTGCACTCGTAATAGTCCAGCGCACGTTAACCCATGTATTCATCCTACACATCAAGACGCATGCACGAACATCTGATCCCACAATTTAACACCTACAAAGACCTGCCTTGTACTTCAGTACAGCGGCACAGTGCACCAGTGGAAGTCAGCTGCACCGGTACAGTCAGAGTTAAACATGGAAATGAGGACATACGCAGTCATGTGGCACAGACCAGTGTTTCCCAACCTTTTTTGAACCACGGCACATATATATCATCAGGAAAAGTCTCACTAAAAAGTATATGTAATGAAATATTATAATCTTCTAGTTTAAATTTACTAAATATGTACTCCTGTTTAGGTATAAACAACGCTGATATACTGGCAGGAATTAAAGAAAGCTTTGATTATCTTTTTTTGTTTTCATGGCCATCTGCTGCCACCTAACAGAAGAGTATTTAATTGTTCTGCCTTTTGTGCTTTGACGAGCAAAGAAAAATTATATGCAATAAATAATAGTTTTCAGACCAATGAAGTGACATTGAATATTTTCCACGGCACACCTAATGGTCTCTCACGGCACACTACTGTGCCACAGCACAGGGGTTGGGAATCACCGGCGTAGACAATCCTACAATTTATGTAAAGAAACATCAGCTTTTAGAACAGTCAGTAGAGAACAACAGAAAACAAAATGGCCGCCTGGAATCAAAAGTGTATCTGGGGTCGTCAGAAATCAAAATAAGGTCACAGGCCAAAAAGGTTGGAAACCACTGGGTTAATAAGACTAGTTATAGTGAGCAGGATCTTAATATGTGCAGGTGTGAGTGTTGATGTGGCTACGCAACAACACTGAACAGGAAGTAGAGGTCAGATGAATGGATGGATGAATGAATGACTTTTCTTCGAGAACCTTAGTGGTTCATTTGATGACAGGTGCCTCATTCATCCCAGTCTTATTTCACCCAGGCCTTTAAACACATAATTGATGGCAGCAGCGAGGTCATTGGTCGTTTGCATTTGACAATATTCTGTAAAGGTTACTGTGGTGACGTGGCTCCTGAGATGGATATTTTTATGGCTGTTAAGATATTGTGATGTTAATAAAGTTATGAAACGCTGGGCTGATCCTTAAGGCAGCGGCAAACCACGGGATTGATTGATGGCTCTTCAGTCGGTTCAATCTGGGAAATTCATTTGAAGGTGGGGGTGGGAGTGCAGGGGAGTGTGCGCTGGAGGAGATGTTGATGAAAAAAGGGTGTAAATAACTTAGGGGAGGGAGTAAGAGGGCGACAGAGTCGGGAAGAAAAAGAAGGGGCGGGGGATTCAAGACCCAAGGTTGCGTGACAAGTTGAAGAGGGAATACAGGGATAAATAACTTCATGCATGAAAACTGGTGAATGACGAGAATAAAGGGAACAGTCGACAGGAGGTAAAACGCCAGAGCTGCAAATGTCGACTGTGTACCGGCTTAAAAGACACCGCGTACAACAATATGAACGACGACGAGCGACGACTCAGTAGGGAATACAGCAAGTTTAGAGTTGAAATCATTAACTGGTTTGAAACAAATGTAGAAAACTGTGTTTGGATTTCTGCTTTCACTCTGTCATTTGGCTGAATTTAGTGTTTTTCAGAACAACACACACACACACACACACATTGCCTAATTCTGGCGAGGGAGGAAAAAAAAAAGCAGAGGCATTTGTCGACATCCGTGGACACCAGAATGTGTCATTTTCCCAGGTAGACACACTCAGCTGTTGAATCAGTGCGGATAATGAATACTGAAATAATACAGCAGGCAATTCCAGTGCTCCATTACACAGCAAGAGCCTGCTATTGATTTATGTGTATTATATCTGCGCAGTTACAGATGTACCCCAAAAGGGGGAAAACATCGGCCAGCTGAATTTGTTGCAGACGGAGTGTCTTCTGTGTGAGAGGACAATTCTTCACCGATGACCTGGGCAAATAAACAAATGAACAAAAAAAAAAAAAAAACAAGGACATTTTTCACACTTTAAATATATAAATAAATACACTCAGTCCAGCCGTTTGTTCATTGGGTCCATTCAAAGAAATGACTGAGTAAAAGAAAACCTGCGGTTGAAGATACTGTTGATGGACGAATCTTCCATCTTGGAGGGTCCTTGACTTACAGCGGAGTTCTCTTCCTACGGTGCAACGTAATTATTTTTTGACGTTAAGTCTGAACTCACATACTGTACATCAGTAGCTGTGTCACTCACCTATGCTAACACTGTGCTAACATCATAATCCAGTCGATCCATAATGAAGGAAAAAAAAACACAAATGAAAGAAAGTAAATACAACACCATGGAGTGTATGGCGTACAACCGGTGAATGTAAACAAAAACGTTTTTTGATGTAGCGTCACATGACCATTTGCCCACTCTGCTCGCTCCTGTGTAGAAATAGTTTTAACAGTGTTCGTTGATGATGATGGAACAAGTCTTTCCTTTAATAAATCTATTGGAGATGATGATGTAACTATGAAACGCTGTAGGTCGAGGACGTCGTAAACCCAGGACCGCTGTCTTTTAGAAAAATCTGTTTTCAAGAATTGAAGCACTGCACAGAAACACTATCTTCCACGGCATGTGAAACATATCTCAATGTGAAGGATGATGTTTGTTACTGAGAACCTTCTGCTGAAATAACAAACAAATCCTTAAAAGGCAAACTCTGCATTTCCTTTCTTCATTTTTCTGCCAGTGAGGCGGTCGTCAGCGTTTTTGTTTACCATTAAGACTTGGTTGATATCGTGGCGTGTGAGTATATGGAGGGCGGCTGTTGCATAGAGGCACGGAGGATAGAAACTAAAGAGAGATGCACACACACACACACACACACACAAAATAACAACACGGGCTGTGGTCATGAGGTCATGCAGTCTCAGCAAGTAGAGACATTATGGGTGTGAGAGAAACTGACAAATAGAGAAAAGGAAAAGTGGGAAATGGATTAGAGAGATGGAAAAGGAGAGAAAAGTGTAGGTGTGAGAGAGTTAAGAGAGGAGATAGTTAAGATAGAATTGCCTCGCAGCCAGTGTCTATGTCTCTGCCCATTCCTCCTGCTCAGCAACATCTAATGGACACTGTCCTCCTCTGCTGTCTTATCTGCCCTCCCTCTCACCACCCTCCCTCCCTACTTGATGACATGCTATCTCTCCACTCCACTGCTCCACCTAGATTGTTTCTTCTTGTTTCTATCTCTTCCTAACGTGTCCATTTTCTGTCATTTTTCCTCCCCATCTTCAGCTCTTGTTCCACTAAAACACTTTGTGTTCGTCTCCTCTCCCTCTCCCTACACCAGAAGGTGTATGATATGTAGTATTATTCAAAGTCGCAAAAAATCTGTGAACTTTTGTTGTCCTCTGTGTAATGACCGAGCTTTAAGTGAGGCTACATATCTTCAAAACCTCAAGTATAGAGTATTTCATATATTTTAAATGGTTATTATATGTTTTTATTATTACTATCACTATGTTTGAAATGTACAGTCTCTTCTGCATCTGTCCCTCTGTCAAAGCAACACATTTCCTCATTCAGTTTAATCGAATTTATTCGTAAAATAGTACAATGTACACGCAAGTACTCTACATCAGTGTTTTCTCAGGGACCCATATTTTAAAAGTCACAAACCTTTGCGACCCAAGTCAACAGACATTAATCGTAAACTCCTGAGAAACATGATGCGAGACAACCCAAAAAAAAAGAAATCTGAGGGTTGTGACCCAGTCTTTGGGAAACAATGCTCTAAATCATGTTTTCTCTCACATGGATTTCTCGCACATAAGACAAAAGACATTTATGAACATCTGAATTGAATGAGTGATACTCACTGGGGATGGATCGTGCCGATACTCAGGATCGGTATCTGTCCGATATTGGTTAAAATTTAAGGTTCAAACCTCGGAAAAAACAACTATAGTTGGTCTGATCCGATACCTAAACTCGAATGGCACTGGCGGCCGAGGGAGGAGAAAAGAAGGTATCGGACTGATATCAGTATCGGCTGTAGTATCAGTATAAGTATCGGTTGGGTAAAACCTTGTATCTGTCCACCACATATATACAGTATATTTAGACCACTGTCTGTGTTTTTCAGATGACCCAGGAGCAGTACATTCTAGCGGCACAGCCCAACCCACTCCACCAACGAGGGGCATCGATGTGCGGCGCCCAGGTTTACCCCGCGGTGGGAATCTATGGGTGGAGGAAGAGATGCCTGTACTTCTTTGTCCTCCTTCTCCTCGTGACCATGATTGTTAACCTTGCACTGACCATCTGGATTCTCAAAGTCATGAACTTCACCCCTGTAAGTGACCGGATTATTTCAAACATTTTTGAGTAGACATTCTGCAAGAGAGAGAGAGAGAGAGAGAGAGAGAGAGAGAGGTGAATGTGAGTGACTATTATGACGTTAGAGAACTTGGTCTCTGTGCTATAACAAATGTGTAAAAAAAAAGGTATTCCACTTGACTAAACTCTAAAAGCGAGGTTTTATTTTGTATCACGTCAGAGATAAAAACATTTTGGAATGTGTCAGAAGAGACGCAGAGCCATCAATTAAAAGGGCATAATTTTTCTTAACAAAACGTCTCTCACATTCATAACAAAACAGCAGAAGTGATTACAGTATGACAAAAAACAGGGAACAATAACAACAAAAAACAATAAAGATAGAGAGATGAGAGGGGAAAAAAGCAGATCCTGGTCGTTTGTTAAAAAAGAAAAAAAACGTTGGGTAGAAAAGACAAAGCTCTTGTGACAAACACTGATAATTAACTTAAAGACATTTGGAGAAGATACAACAGTGTTGTGATAAACGTACAGACGTGATCCAAGATCTCATTGTTTTCCTGCTGCCTTTCTTCTTCTTCCTTCCTGGTCTGTGCACTGCCTCTGTGACCAGACCAGGAAATGTTCATTTGAACTATATTGTCATATCTCTGGTCAGCAGATTTTTTTTATGTTTGTTATGAAAAACAGAGATTGAGCATCTCATCCACAGATTAGCGTTCAAACACATTCATCATTGGCTGCCTGGAGGCTGAAGGAACCACAGCTACTGTACGGTTTATATGCAAATGAGACAGGATTTAACCTCCACAAAGTCTTCCAAAGATTCAGGCTGGTTTGTGTGTGGGCTTGTGTGTGTGTGTGTGTTGTTGAGCGAGCGGTTAAGAATATTAGAATTTGCCAAAGAGTAGCGAGGCGGTATTAAGAAAAAAACAAGGTGAGGATATTTTCTAAGTTTTGTATCACTGACTGAAACAGTTTTTGGATTTGACGAGGCTGAAAAAGTTAAAAAGACAAAGGGGAGTTCCTGTAGAAGAGCGTAGATATAAACATTGAAGGTAAAAAAATCTGATTTGTAATAGAAAAAGTGAATAAGAATAACCCAAAACCAAGGAATCCATGGAATACTCCTCCATTAAATGTTCAGTAATTGATCCACTGACAGTGAGTCAATGTTTTTTTACAGATATGAAAACCCTCTCTCACACATGGTATAATATATGTACATATATTATATGATACATATATGTACATGTAATTATACCTTTTCACCATTTTACCACCAGGTGGTATTTAATTATTTAGTGTTTACCTTCCTGAGCAGTGCTCAGCTGCTCACACAGGCTGTACTTCCTGTGATTCTCCACGGTCACTCCACTCCACTCCACTCTGTGATCAACAATGTAGAAAATCAAAGAAAAAGAAAACGAAGAACAAACTAACTGTTGCTGGAAAACCGTTCATGAGCCAGGCTTTAAAATCAATTCAGTGTGAACTCTCTCCACAGGTCAGACCACTTGAGTTAGAGCTGTCAATTGACATTTCAAGGAAATATGACATGGTCCCTATTTAAGCAGATTCATTTCTGTTTGCCAGCACAGGCAGTGCATTCACGAGACGACAGTGGGAAAAAAACAAAAAAATCTTTATTAACATTCTCAGCACATAACCGTCGAAACAACAAAACAATAAATATTATCTGCCCTGAAAATCACAGTTCACATTTCTAACCTGTCCTACAAAATTCTGTTTATATTAAATTAACTCTGCATCTGTTCCCCACTGTGGCGCTTAACACTGCTGCACAAGAAACTAGTTTCACTCCAAGTTTGTGTTCACACTGTAAAGTAATGCGCACTCTCTCCTCAACTAATCCATTTTAGAATCCACCTCGAGATGAGGGTTTCAATCCCAAATCAACTTGGGTGCGATATTATAAAATCCATAGCGTGTTTCGTGACCCACGAACATGTACAAAAACTTTACCTCAGTGAGGCTGCCATGTGTGTTGTTTACATCGATATTCATATTTAATGGATGAAAACTCCCAGATATCACAATGTTGTTGTTATGTTGGTCACATGATGTGTCGGTTTAGCAACCGCACAAAATGAACACGCACTCGATCCTTTTCTGAATGTAAACAAACCAGGTGAAGTCAGTGCGAACAAAAGTGTATTCTCTGCACTTTAAATACTATTTACTGATACGGGAGTTGATTTGGCAATGAGTGTAAAACTGTGTTTGGCGCCAACTGTCCCTAGGACAGAATCTGATTAAACATCACACTGGCAGCACTGACCATACGTGTATTCAGAGTAAACAAACAAACAAACCCTTTAACGTGCTCAGTACCTGCCGCGTCGATGATGTAAAAATAAAACCCACAGGTGGTAATTTAGGATTGAACCCATTAGAGCAGCAGGAGAGCATCAGCCAGAGGGAATATGTGACCCAGCAGTTACTGCTGGGCTCGTTAGTGCAGCATACATTTTCTATACACACACAGAGTAGACTTCCTTAGCAATGTCACACAACAGCTCTATTAGCATTTCAAAGAATGTTTACAACTGTGTTTGACTGCATTAGGATGTAAATGTGACCTGAAAAGAAAATAATGTAAAAAAGATCACAAGGGTAAAAAAGTGTTCTTCCCTCCCTGTGCATTGAAGAAAGCATTTAAAAAGTATTACTTCATGTCCCTAACTAATGCATGACTGTTCAGTGGTTCACACAAGACTCCGTTCATTTATTTAGACCATGGTGATAAACCGGGCCACTTGATGAATTTTGAAAATACAAAAATGCACAAAACCTTCATTGTTCAGTAAATGTTTTGTAAAATTATTATATTATAATAATTAAAAAATAATAATTATAATGCCATAATTTTGATTTATCTAATATACCTGTAGTTCTTAGCATGAAAACAAAAAGACAAAACATGAACTTGTTGTTATTTATTGCTCGTTATGTTCATCTAATTAGGTTGTATGCGGCCCCTGAACTAAAATGAGTCTGACACCCCTGATTTAGACCGTATAGGTGGGAAAGGACAATTCTAAGGCTTCACACTACCCAGTATGGGCTCCAGGAACAGCAGCTGGTGTTAGAGTTTACTGGTACAGGAGAACCCAAAGACCCGGGAACACACACGCTCGTCCCCTGCCTCATGCAGACTGGAATGTTAGCCTTGGTTTACTGGTATGTTAGAAGTTGACAGTTCGGCGATATTCACTGCTCTGTTATCCACCTTGATACTCTTGGCACGGGCGCCACTGCCCAAAAAAGAAAAGCCTCAAACTCTCTTCAAATGCCAGCCTGCTGTCATCAGGTTCAGGCTGGATCGAGGCAGACGCAGCCAGGAACGCTCCACTGTGACATGTGCATGCGTACGCGCTCGCTCAGGGTTAGAGACGTTACGTAGAAATGACATAGGAACACTGATGTTTACCTGTTTGCACCACAACATTCACATCACCCAACATTACAACATATTCTATTGTCTATATGAACAGCAGCAGCAGCAGCAGCAGCACTGGGCGATGACAGCACGAACCACGGTGGATAATTGGGGTCTTACTCTTCGACTGGTTGCAGCCTCTGCACTGGTCCTTACAGTTAACCACACATGAAGTCATGTTTAAACACCTACACTCACTCATTTATGGATGAGCACACGTCTTCTGATTTTAAATTAGTCCAACATGGCCGCGCTCTCTCTAATGACTCTGTTACTGTCATGTCAATAAGCTGCTCAGCTGGCACTTTGTCGGCTCATTTGAGGAGATGGGATCTGGATTTTTCTTTTTTTAAATACATCTGGGAATAAGTCAAAAGAATTGGGTTGTGTGTGGTTTTGAGCTAAAAGAAAAAAGAAGCAGAAAGTCATTTTTCAAAATTGTGCAAGCGCTTACTCTGTGATTTATTATTTTGATACAGTCTTTGTTTAAGTGAGTGTGTAATGTACGTCTCATATACTCATTCTCCCTGAAGTGAAATTAAAGGCTTGGACTATATAGAAAATGCAGTTTGTGTACTGGGTTAGACAATACTATACTACTATAAAATATCCAACATGTTTCAATATTTTTTAAAGCAAAAAATGCAAATAATATGCCACTAGACTCAGTGTTAGTAACATTTCTGACAACTGGTATTGTGTTTTTAAAGTGTAAGTCTTGGTGTAACTTTAACTGATAAAATAAGAACACAAAGTATTTTAGAGTACAAATACAGGCGCAGGGTACACTGGGCAAGATGATCTTTTTTTCTCCAGGTCACTGCAGTATTACAGGCAGTGTTTTTATTCTTATAATTCCCACTGATAGCTTTACTGTTATTACAGTTTTAGTAGGAAGCCTTGCATCTCAATGACCCGAAGAAAATATACAAAATTATATTTAAATATTCATCAGTCCAGGAGGTTTTTTTATCACTTCCCAGAGAAAGAAAACAAAATAATTAAAAATGAGGATTAAGTGAACATTTAATAATAATAATAATAATAAAAACAGTTCGACCAATGGCGATTCCTGGTTATGTCTCCATCTCCCATAAACGATGTTACAACTCGCCAACTAGTTTCCATGGGACATTGATGGTGAGCAAAGCGGACAAATACGTTGACGCACGGCACTATATGCTGACGACGAGCGACTTTGTTTACATTCACTGGTTGTACGGCATACGTGGGATTGTGCTACATTCACTTCCTTTTATTTGTGTTGTATTTTTGGAACCTTTTTTTTCTTCTTCATGATGGCTCCCAAGCGCTAGTCAGACTCTTTTACTGTTTGTATGTCTTAGATTAAGATGTCACCCGTGTGTTAGCGTAGGTGAGTGACAGTAGGTAAGTTCTGACTTACGGCGTAAATCGTGTTATGTCACGTGGTAGGAATCGGACTCTGACTTAAGTTGAAGACCCCCTGACAGCTAGTAGATTCCTACAGTCGAACTGTAGGAAATTATGAAGAGGAATAAAATGATAAGAATCATGTGTGGCCTATAAATAACTCTCACAAAACACTGAGAGGAGCAAGTTGTCTGAGGCAGCGTTTGCTAATGTTTCTAGAGCACAGACTCCAATGACTGTCAGACATCCTTAATAACACGACTGCATTCAGTCCAGAGGGAATGTAAGCCAAGAAAATACTCAACTTTTCGTGCATAATGAGCTTCCCAAATAAAGCGAATTTAAATATTCTCTGTCATTACAGGCAATGGTGCATTTATGGGCAACAATTTATGGGAAACTATTTGGCCGAGGCATTAGAGCGTGTGAGGTAATAAAAGTGATCAGGAATAAATAAGGTGGGCAGACGATGCTGAGTGATGACGAGAATGGGTTAAATATATATATATATATATATGTGTGTGTGTGTGAGTGCACAGCTCCTGTACTGTATCTGTATAAATAGGAACTAGTGAAGGTGACTCACACAAGCACACATCAAACTTAACACGCTGCCTGTCTCTGCCAGCCCATCATCCACTTACTTCTTCTCCATGAGGCAGTGAAACAGACACCTCTTTGAGTCCCTAAGGACCCGAGAGGCAGAGGACAGGAGGGAGAAGCTGAGCATGGATGAAGGGACACTCTATTTATACCACACACACACACACACACACACACACACTCAGTTTAGAGGGCCTTATTATTACCAGGCTATTTAGATTCTGAATTTAATTTGTGGCGTGTAATAAATAAACCTGGAGTTATTTAGTGCACATTAAATGACATTATGTTTTTCAGGATAATGACCAATTGTACTTGGATAAATGTTGTGCGAAGTGTGTAAGGCCACATGAAATTACCAGCGGCGACACAGCGCAGGGCTCAGTTGCAGTTTTTTTGTTTGTGTCTATTGTTCAAGTCCTTTGTGTGCAAGGGATTCAAATCTGCTGCTGAAGGCAATTCCAGCTCCTAAACCTGCTGCACTCAGCTGCTTGTCCGGACCATCGTTACGGCCGGTCACACCTGCAATGCATCACGTAGCACACAAACATAAACAAGGCACACACGCACGCTCACCGTTTCCCCCCTCACTCCTCAGTAACAGTGCTGACCTCAGGTGTGTCTGCTGTGAAACACTCACATGGACACAAAGACGCAGAGAGATAGGCTTAATGCTTTGTATATATCAGAGGCGTGTGCTGACACACCTGAGGGGGAGCCTTTAAACTGCCAGTTCCACACAAACAAACGCACACCAACACCACCGCTGGCTGATTGGTGAGTAACAACTTCAATTAAATTTTTACGCCGTGAAAGCTCGCAAAGCAACGGCCTTAACGCTCCCCCACTGACACAGACTTGATGTTTGGAGTCGGTTTGTCCTGACAGAATTTTTACTCTTAAACATGACAAACAGCCCGACGGCACACTGAGATGTGGAAGCTGTGAAGTGTTACCTCATCAACATGCCACAGATCTATGTTTAGTTAAAATGATAAGTGTCAGGGCCGTTATTGGGACCGTCAAAGCTGTTTTTCAACATGTTGTTGATGGATCAGTCCACTAAGAACCACATGCTTCTCTTCATTACTCTTAAAACAGACTAATGTTCCAATGAGAACCTAAGCCTGAGAAAGCTGCAGCTGAATTTTCATCCAGTTTTCTTCTTCCCACACATAAAATGTTTAAGCCCAGTGGATCAACCTGTGTCAGCTTTTATATTTCCCTTCAGAATGGATGCTGCTTGACAAGTTGTAAGCACTAATTCATTATTTTCCTTTGAGAAGTCTCTGCTGAAACTCCCGTCATAGACGATGATTCCGACTGGAGCTTAAGTAAAGGAGAACATTTATGTTCTGTCTGTAAAACAAAGAAATCTATTGACAATGTAGAAATGTGAACAAATGTGTGTTTGACCTTTAAAATCTTAAAAACAAAATTCAGTCATTTTATAATGAACATCTACAAAGGTCCTCCGTCATCCAAGATCTGTTTAATGTGAAGTGTAAAATGAGAAATTTTAATCAAAAGGGGGAAAATTTTTTTTTTACTTCTCACTATTGTTTTACACAAATACTGCTTAAATTGACACATTAATC